CTCTACAGAGCCTGCTGGTCAGGCAACACCAACTGCAGGAGCCCAAACACCTGCCAACACTGGGGTCAACAGCGATGCGCCAGGGGCTGAGAATGTGGGCAAGGGCAACGGCCAGCAGTTTATCACAGGCCAATGCCTCTCCGACGCCGATTGTGCATCTAAATGCTGCGCAGGAAAGGCCGGAAGCTCAAACGGCGCTTGCTCAGCGATTGCAGTAGCGAATGAGAATGGAAAGACAGGCTGTGGGTTTGTGCAAGCCTAGAAAGGGGGCTTTGTCGATGTGCTGCATCTATGCGGATGTGGTGAGATGATACTGTACCAATCTGTGTAAAAATAGCTTCACCGTCTATATGCTTGAATAAGAATGTTCGAGGGCTGTGCCCACGAAAGAAGTACCATATCGAGCCGTTGATTCTGTTCAAGTACGTTGGTTTGCAGGAAATGTTCTTGGGGGCAGTTTTTAATCGTTTCCTGAGGGTTCCTTTGAAGCCACGACATTCAACTACGATCTACAACTTGGTCATTAAACATTATCGGCTGTACTAAGAGATATGGTGCTGTATTAGATAATTCTAATCTGTGGAAAAATGTCAACATGCTGTCCCTTCGCTCACTGATGGGCAACGGGTTTGACACTCAGCACAATCGTGCCTTTCATGTGCTGCTGTGCCCTCAAATGGCACATGCGGCACAGACTTAGGATTCATATTAATCGCGACCAGGCATATGCAACCCGAGCTTGCTTGTACATATCCACGTGATAGCAGGTTGAATGCTCATTCTCCTAGGTTCAGTGACTACACAATTGCTCCTCACCGAGCAACTGCAGCAAGATGACACCGCTTACTTGCCTAGGAACACCAGATTAGCTACGTTCATTATTGCCATGAACAGCCAGATCAAGACGGCGATAATCGCCGTGTACCACGAGTTGGTCATCTTCTTGCCCTCGTAGTCGAGCTCGGCTCCCTCGCCAACTACCCGGTCCAACGCTGTCTCATGATCCCCGTCAGCCGTACGCCAGCGCGCCCTGCCGGTGTGGACCATCATGTATTTATCACGGCAGGTGAAATAGATGAGCGGCGCAGTAACAAACGGTAGGATGATGCTCAGAGCTACCTGGGAACCGTTGAGCGCTGCGTTGAGCCCAGAGCGGCCCACGGCTCCGGCGATGATGATGCTTGGTGTGATGCTGATGCTGCGGGTGACAAGGCGGCGCAGCCACGGCTTGATCTTCCAGTTCAGGGCGCCCTCACTGACCATTTGTCCAGCAATGGTGCAAACAATTCCAGCTGAGACTCCCGAGAGTAGCAGTGCCAGGGCAAATATAGTGCCTGCCGCAGGAGAGATAGACTTAGAAAGTAGATCGTGAATGCCAAAGATATCAGCTTCGAGAGCGTCTGGATTGTTGTAAAGCGAGGCACCAGCAACAATAAGAATGGCGGAGTTGACAAAGAGCGCAAATGTGAAGAGAGAGGTGGCCAGGTCAATGATGGAAATCTTGAGTGAGTGCTTAATTGCGCTTTCGGAGGGGACGTAGTAGCCTTTGTCGATGCCTTCATCAAGAACCGATGATCCTGAGGTAAGTTGACGAGGTAACAGACCGCTTCGCTCATCGTATTCGCGTAGGCGCGGTTGAACAATGCCTGATCCTAGATATAAGCTGTGAGGCATGACTGTCGCGCCGAGAATACCGCAAGCCTGGTAAATACTGCCCGAACGTTAGAGTGAGGGTAAAAACGAGGGAGTAGGGATCTGGAACTCACGCTTCAGACTCAACCAGTGAGCTTGAGGGAAGATAGCCTCTGAAGACTTCTCTCGGGGAGGTGTCACGGATCAGAGACAGCTGGATGCAAAAGCAAACAACGACACCGAGAACTAAGCAGACGATGAACATTTCAAAATATCTTAGACCTTTCATGGACTCATGTGGACGATAGAAGAAGAGGATGACCATAACATCGATGATGGAAATAGCACATCCCACCACCAGCGGGACTTGAGGGATGAGAAGGTTCAATGCAATGGCAAATCCAATCACCTAGTTGGTCAACATCTATCGACAAAAATGTTGAAACAAAGGATTAATCAAGGACCTACCTCTGCTATGTCTGTGGCAATGATTGCAGCCTCGGCAAAGACGTACAAGATGTAGTTGAGCCATCGAGGGAGAAAGGCACGACAGGCTTCAGCGAGGTTGAGGCCGCTGACGGTACCGAGTTTAATGGCCAGGCTCTGCAAGAAAATAGCAAACAGATTGGAGAGGAGGACGATGAACAAGAGGCGGAAGCGATACGAGGCTCCCGCGGCGATGTCGGTAGAGTAATTGCCAGGATCAACTGGACGCACACATGTAAGTGAGGTGAAGGGAAAATGCCTGCAGGATGACAATGTCCAACATACTGTAGGCAACCGAAATCATAAAACCTGGCCCGACGAACGAGCCAACGGTGACGAGCATCTTCTTGAGACGCTGCAGCGGCGTGCCGCGGTCGGCGTCATCACCAGCCGGAGCCGGTGGGGGGTGGGCGGGTGCGGGCGTCCGCAGACCGCCGTCGGGTGGCTGGCCCCGGTCGATTGACCGATAGGCCAGCCGATACGTGGCCTTGGCACGGCCGGCGTTCTCGATAGGGGCGTCGCTGGCTATCTGTCCTGGGACATTGGAGGTTGCGTCCGGCAGTGCTTGAGAGCCATCTTGTACCACGGCCCGAGTATTGACGAGCCCATTGAAGTCCTCATTCGTAGTGAGGTCACTGGAGTTTGGATTGGGGCTCTGGTTGTAGCCGTTATCACCCTTGAGGGGTTCATCAGTGTGAGATGTCTTATTCATGGCGTCAGTCACGTTTGGTCGAAGATTGAAGCTGTTTGATCAGAAACCGCTGTCTTGTGTCGCGTGGGACACGCCGCTTTATCAACGGTAATAAGAAGGGTAGCCGGATACGCCATTCCGGGGTCGGCATGTTCCATGTCGCTCGTACAACGTCCCCGCACAATGATCCGTTGAAGCGAGCTTTCCCGAGGACGAAGCTTCTTTTACAAGGGCTTAGAATATGGACCATCTAGAACCGTGCGTTGCTCACCGGGTTCAGGTACGCCGTCTGACAACCAGTGATGGTGGACGCACCCATTTACAGAAGCGGGTGTGCTCGGTGAGCATGGCTTTTGTGCAATGCCCGTGACTGATGTGATCTTATTGTCAGCTTTGTCGATGACGCCTGGTGATAAGTACTCAGTACAGGGTGATGATATGGTTTCCACCGCAGCTTACAGGTATGTAACAAGCCCTAACAGATGGCGTTGACGCGGCGTATCGCAAGAGGCAACTTGATAGGCTGAAGAGCAGAGAGTCTCTGCAAGGGCCCCGGAACGAACGGCACTTACGGCACCTGAACATCGTCGGGATCCATCCAATCCGTGGACGCTAAACTGTCTTGAACTTACGAGAAGATCCCAAGTCCCGAGACGCTCACGGGCCCCATTCGTCGGGTCTTTTAGGGATTTTGCTTGCAGACCAAGGCAAGATGAAAGAAGCAGAGGTACCTAGTGCATGATTGAGCACTAGAAGGATTCGAGAAGGCATCTGGCGTATTCATCCCAAGGCGCGTAATGAAGCGTTTGAGCAACTGGCGATTTGCTAGGACCCACACCATGCGACTTGAGCGCGATGACCCACCTATTTACGCGCGTTCATTGGCTTACCAAGCGCTTCTCTATGATTGGCTATGACAGTTTTTCGACCCCCTGAAGTTTCAGGGGACTTTCAGGGGACAATCGTGCCGTGAGAATTCTCGCTCTGACCTGGGAGATGGAGTTTCTGTCATCACTTAAAATCGCGTTGACGCAGAAAAATACTCGATCCTAAATGTAATAGTTGGTCAGCAGTATTGGTTTCTGGGAACTGACATCTATTAATATTCAATCTCGGGATTGGAGACACCGATTGGTGTCTCCCTCAGAGAAGTCAAACGTCCGCCTACTTATTCACACCATCTTGCTGCCACTGCAACAACCTTGGTGATAGTTGAGGACTTTGTGGATTGACTTTACCCTAGTTAGCAACTATACTGGAATATGACTCAAGAGAAATTTTCATATTTCTCCTTACCTAGGGCCTCGGCATCTGTAAGCGGCTGCTGGCCTGGTGATAGTTTGCCCATGCACCATGATATAGGGTACTACGTTTGGAAACATTTTCTCCCAACTTGAGCTGCTGAAGGCTCCTTTGATTGAGTTTTCTCCTGGGTTCTGATAAAGGTCCATGCCGTATCTGAAGCGATACTCCTTCACTGTGCTCCCGGCTACTCGGGCATCAGGCCCCTGGGGAAACTCATGAGCTTGCCGCCCCAACAATCAGTCACATACGACCATACCTACTAGAAAATACGGGATCCCGTCTGCTCTCCCAGAGTCAAGCTAGTAAGGGGCGGATTAGTAGTTAGGTCGGTGACGACTAGCGAATACCCGCTGTTGTATGTGTGATCTTTTTGCTCTATTCTTTTGGTTCCTCTCTGGTATGATTAGTGGAAAACTGTGATGGTACCGGTCTTTGAATCCAATATAGTGATACTTGGACCTTATCGAGCTTCGATAAGTACTAAGTTTTGTTGAGAAACTTGACAAGCCATCCCTCTTTAGTGGTTATGGACCCAACCTAAAACTCCACGCCGAGTGGTATAAGAGCCGCGTGAAGAAATAGCGACTACGAGGAATTTAAGCTCGCGTTATATTGGTGGAAATAACAGAGTGATATTTGTTTATGCTACCTAAGCGTGGGCAGCTATAGGTTTTTTCCTCATCTTGTCATCGTTGCGTAGACCTATTCGGTTTTTAGACTACCCGATCATAATTACAACCATGGGCTTGGCACTGGGTCTAAACAGATTCGATGGAGATTCTAGATCGATATGAAGTCCTGCCCTGGGATATAGAGAGGAATTCTGTTATGCTCAAAGGCTACAAAGAGGCCATTAGCCGCGATGCCACAGCGTATAATTATTAACACAAATCAGTAATTCACTAGTAAGTCTTATTAGCTGCCTCCCTGAAGACTACGATTTTATCACTAATATATTCCCTACAGTTGGAACCTTTTCCAATTGTCGTACCCGTGTTGACAGACCGGGCAGTGCCACTCTCCGGAAGACAGGCTGCAGGAAAAAGTCTTCCTGCATGAAGGACACCTATATGTCTTAACCTCGTGGTCTTCTCTGGCTCGCAAGAATGGCACCAAGTCAGCCGCGAAATCGTTTGTGGTCCGCAGTACTTCGTAGAAGTAACCGTTGCCCAAAAGCGCATCAATATGATGACTGGAGGTTTCCATTGAGGTCTCGGAGCCCCCGGTCTTCCAACGGTGAGGTGGTGTAGGCCACAGTGATGGCAAGTGGGAAGTCATCCATCGGCCAACCAACATCAAGGGCTGCGCCAAATTTCTTTGCGGCATGTTCTTTAAGGGAATCTATATCGTATTTGTCCGCGATCTGATAGATCTGGGCCTCAAAGACCATGGACGAAGTACCGTTGACATTGGTGTAGTCAAAGTTGTACATGAAGTGCAACATGGCAACATCGAAGTCCTGGATGTTGATTACCTGTTCGGAGCTTTCCTAGAAAAGGATTTAGCATTTGCCAAGGACTACTTCTTCATAAAAGAGATCTATACCTTCCATGGGCCGTTTAGTTGCTTAGAGAAATACTTAGAGTGGGCGCACAGAATCAGTCGATGGACCTTGAAAGTCTGCCCATCGCAGGTGACAGAAAGATCCGAGAGAGTGTCGTGGTTGAAATAACTATTAAAGAGGTGAGCTGATGCTAAGGAGGTCTTTGCAGCGCGAAATACCCTTTCAACGATGATCGAAAACGGTCGAACGGTTCGGATGCCATTATGAATGATGCTGAGATCTCAGAACGGAACGGTAGATCTTTCCTGACATTCAGTATCCTATGCAGTAGAAATGAGAGAGTGGAAAAAGGTCGAAATAGTCTCCTTGCTCATGCGCAAAGGGAAGTTAATCAGGGTTGGTCGGCCTCCCGCATATTGGGTCAAGAACAGTGACGCCACACCAAGTCATCTGTTCCGAAGAATCGAACCAATGAAACTGGGCAAATGAAGAATACCGGATCGGTGTTCTGGAGGTTAGTTGCCCTAAACAAAAGTGAAGAGTGTTTACCTGACTTACCAGAGACACAATGCTTTGTCTCATGTTGGTGGCCTGCCAATTGACAAAGGGGTATCCGTTCAGCACATCTAGCACCATTATGACGAAGGAACCGTGTAGCAAGTAAAACATGAATGTAGTTGTAGAACAAGGGGAGGAGAAATTAGCCTTGACAGGAGCGTATCAAAGACAGAACAATGAACGGATAGTAACAGGAAATAGGAAATGATCTAGAGTCTCTCCAGAACTGGTCGTGAATGTTGCCAAGCGCTGGAATTAACTGAAATAGTATAGCTAACCAGGTTGAGCGATTCCCCGCATATTGATGTAAATAGGTTGCATTGCCAAATTAGCCAGAAGTCATCACCAACAACGTTCCACCAATCATGTCACAGCATGCCATCTCCCCCAAAGTCGATCCATCAACATGTGGTCTTTTTGTCTTCCCCGCCTATGCATTCCCGGGATCATGTCCTTGATGGGGGCGGGGGCATTGATTCCATCCACAAGAATAGTCGGTGTCGATCTCTCGGGTTGATCATTGCCGAGGTCTTTCGGAGTGAATGGCACCGAGTATTATATCGTGATGTTGCTTAAATGATCTTCTTCTGCACCACACACTTCCTGAATCCCTCCCTTTCCAGCTTTGTTTCTTTTTTGGCATGCCTTTACGACCATGTGGACTCCAACTCTCAAATCACTTGCCCTCATTTCAGGGTTCGTGGGGTTCTCTCAGGCAAAACTGAATGCCAAGGAGAACTCGACACACATCTCCCTCTCCAATGATCGTCTCGATGTGATCTTAACTAAATCTACTGGACATATCACTGATGTCATGCTTGATGGTCAGGATCTTCTGGGGCCACAAAACGGTAACAGTGGCAAAGGACCCTACCTGGACTGCTCTTGTACTCCCGCAGGTTTCTGGACGCCGGGGAGCACCGCACAGCTTCAGCTTCTCAAAGGCAAAGACTCTACTGGAAGCGACTACGCCGGTATTGTTATGAGCGACACCTATAAGCCAACAAACCAGACACTGTCGCAATACTTCTTCCTCCGAGACGGAGAGACCGGGCTGCACGCCTTTTCTCGTCTTACCTACTTCAATCCAAAAACTCCCTTCCTTCGGGATCTGGGCGAGCTCCGGACCCTCTTTAGGCCCAACACCAAGCTATGGACGCATTTCTCGACCAGTGATGGCAACTACGGACCCCTCCCTTCAATGGCCAATTCCGTCTCCGTTCAAGACGCGACTTGGTACGTGGGGGATGACAAGGATGACGCGTATGCGAAAGAGTACTCGGATTACTTTACCAAGTACAGCTTGTCTGAGAGCTGGCGAAATCACGACGTTCATGGCCAATTCAGCGATGGCTCGACAAGCGATGATGGGAGCACTTTCGGATCCTGGCTTGTGCACAACACGCGGGAGACATACTACGGCGGCCCTTTGCATTCCGATCTTGTTGTTGATGGCATCGTATATAACTACATGGTCTCGGGCCATCACGGCGCTCCTATGCCCAACATTACTCATGGCTTTGATCGCACCTGGGGGCCACAGTTCTACTACTTCAACAAGGGCGACAAGGATACAAGTCTTGCTGAGTTGAGGGCTGACGCTGCGCAATATGCAAGCTCGGAGTGGAACGTGGACTTTTACGATAGTATCGCACACCACGTCCCCAACTATGCCCCTTCGTCAAAGCGGGTCACCTTCAAGGGAAACATCAAGCTCCCGAAGGGTGCTGAAAAGCCGATCATTGTGCTATCTGAGAACAAGCAAGACTTTCAACTCAATGTTTTCAACACGAAGTCACTTCAGTACTGGGCAGAGGTTGACAAATCTGGGCGCTACAGTATCCCGCAGGTGGTGGAGGGAACTTACCGAGTGACCATCTACGCCGACGGAGTATTCGGTTGGTTCATCCAAGACGACGTCAAAATCTCACGATCACACAACAGCAAGGGCTTTACCTGGCGTGAGGAAAGCGCAGGTAAGGAGATTTGGCGGATTGGCGTGCCAGACAAATCATCTGGCGAATATCTTCATGGGTACGCACCTGATACATCCAAGCCTCTTCAGCCGGAACAATATCGAATCTACTGGGGTAAGTATGAGTACGAAAAGGAGTTTCCCAAGGGAGTCAACTTTCACGTGGGCAAAAGCGACGAAGCCAAAGATCTCAACTATGTTCATTGGTCATTTTTCCCATCCAAGGGCAACCATCTTCTCTCGGAGCCGTATTACGACAACGTGAACAACTGGACTATCACATTTGACTTGAATAAGAACCAGCTGCGGGCAAAAACTGCAACATTTACGGTGCAGGTGGCGGGTATGAGAAGCGCCAATGGAAATGCAAAGTGGACACCTGTGAAGGGCGGAATCAACGACTTGCCATGGACCGTGAACGTCAATGGAGCTTACGAGTCGACCTGGCTGATTCCTTACTGGCGAAGTGGTTCTTGCGCTGTCCGAAGCGCTGTTGCATGCCAGAATGTGGAACACAAGTTCGTGTTCCCGTCCTCAAATCTTCGAGCAGGGAAGAACGAGTTTGTTTTGAGCTTGCCTTTCAATGCTTCGAGCGTTGAGACAGCTGTATTGCCGGACTCGCTATACGTCCAGTACGATGCTTTGAGACTGGAACTCAAGTAGTTTAGTTGAACAGTTGTACCTACGGTTGATCAGGTTTCATATAGGATGAAGGTATGAAGCATTGCCTTATTGCTGTCATGTTATGAGTTTTATTGTCTATTCCTCAACTTCCCGCCCATCGTCGGTGGGAAGGCCACAATCACGCTTAAAGTCACGGAGCCATTCGTCATTGTCAGCAGGAGTTTGGTTCCATGGATCATCACTACAAAAAAAAGTAGACATTGTTAGCAACCGTGATACAGCTGAGAGAGGAGCATGAACAGCACAGGCCGCATTTCTAATGATCCAAGAACACGGTGTACTCACTCGTCATACCAAATCCAACGTGCCTGATATTTCAACTCCTCATCAGTTGGTACGTGACTACTGGGGTTGTTGGACGACATGGTGGTCATCACAAATCGGGAGAGATCTCTCGTAAGGCGCCTGTAGCTGTTACTGTCGTTGTTGAAGGGTGCCCCGTTGAATGGGCCGGTTCCCTGGAAAGGGTTTTGGGTTGTAGAGGGCGGCCTCGCATGATGGATAGTTGAGGCGCTGATAATACCATGGCCTTGTTTTCGGATCAGCAGCACCGAGGGAGATACACCAGACGCCGTTGTGGGTGAAACAGGGCTTCTGGTATGATCCAAGAGTTGTAACAGATTACTAATACCCCCCTGAGGATGTCCAGAATTGAGCTCAGAATTGACCAGCCTGTTGGGTGAATGATCGGTGGCCAAGTTTGGCTGAGTACTATCGTTGTTTGTCATGCTCTCGGCTGGCAATTGTCGTCCTCGATCACGCAAGGGAGTAAGCCACTTGTTGGACATCCAAACAAGCCTCGTCAAGAATCCAGTAAAAAGCTGCGAGGAGTTGTGCGAGCCAGATTCCATACGATCAAGAAGACTGGCTGCCTGCTTCTGCAATTCATAGTCTGTCATTGGAAGGCCTATCATGTTATGAATCGCAACCAGTCGGCATAGTTGAGCCTCTAGCTCGCAACCATCAAAGATGTCGCTTTTGCCATTGATTTTCAGTTGGCTCATGCGTGACTTGTTGATCTGCTCGATGGGGCGTAAGCGGGCCTGTTGAACAGTCTCGGTTGAACTGGTGAAGATGTCTCGAAGCCATGACGGCGCCGGGGGGACGTGATGGCCAGAAGTGGCTTCTGCACCAAGAATAATAGTGCATCCCTCGCACTGGAGTTCGTCATCCGAAGGCAAACGGCCATGTGCGTCTAGGTAGTCGTACATATAATATTCGAGCTCTAGTTTGATGAGTTCATATGCACTAGTAGGTGAGCCAGCCGGTCCTTGGGTGACAGAGAATGGAAGTGGCGAGGTTTGCTCGCAATGAATGAGGTCTATCGGTTAGTGGAGGGAATTTCAATGCCAGAAACAGCTACTCACAAGGTGGTATGGCATTCTCGATCATTTCATTCACGTCATGGTCAAATCCCCAATCGCCTTTCCAATCTGCCATTGTGCTTCCACTTTTAAAGTGGTCGGCGAGATGATCAACTCGAATGGCCCAGGACGATAGGCCCTCTCCGCAGAAGCCACATCGAGATATAATCTCGGTGTTGTCGGTTTTCCATGAGTCCATCGGCCACTCCATATACTTCGCACCATGTACCAACTTTAAGTGTTGTTGTAGGTGGTCCTTTCGATAGAAGGTGCGCTCCTCAAGCGAGCGTTCTATGCATGAAGCATAACTATGTGCATTCAAGTGCGACTCGTCCGGGTCGGCTTGTCCACAGTAGATACAAGATATGCCTTGCTCGGGGTGCATAGCAGTGGTCCCGTTTGGAGAGCAAGCCCACCTCTCGAGCGAGATATGCAGTGACTTCTCATGTCGAGTCCAGTTATGCTTTGTTTTGAACGTCTCTGGACAAAACGTACACTGGTACTTGTGGTAGGTGTGGAACAAACTTGGCTGGAGAGGGACTTGTGACTTGGGTGCCCTTCGCCGTCTCCTCCGACCAGCATGTCGCGCCAGAATTCTGAGAGACCCTCCGGAGCTATAGGAATGGGCCGAGGTGCGAGACCCGGATCCGCGACTCGAATGGGAGTTGCCTGCGCTACTAACCGATGGGGCATTATCTGAAGATCTGCCGGATAGTGGCGAGAAGAGCCCAAGTTTAGGCGAGGCTGCGACGGCGCGAGAGATGCTGGCGACAGTAGCAGGTTCGCATTCGGGGGGCGAGTTTTGCCAGCGCTGAAGGGGGCTCATTTGGTCACAAGGCATTGGTGTCGGAGGTCTTCGGGGGATATTGATGGTACCAGGTCCGGTCGATGTTGGTTGAGTTGCATCGCGGATATAGGAGGATTGTGTCCGGGAAGAGTGAGGCTTAGAGCGCCGTCTAGCATTTACGAGCCAGTTGGTTACTTGCTGCCGGCTAAGACCCGTCTGGCCCTGGAGCCTCTCGAGATCTTCGGTGGTGGCATAGGGATGATGTTGGTGGGCTGCGAACCAGTTCCTCAGTATCTTTGCCACCCGAGTGGAAAAACGACGACCAGATTTTGGCGGTATACTGGCTCCCAGGGTTTGTAACGGTGTGGCGCTGGCAGAAGGCTCACCAACTGTATCGGCTTGGAGACCCAGGGTCTCTGAGGGAGAGGCGGAGAGAAATAGGTCTGTAGTGGCCCAGGTGTCGTCAGTGTCCTCGACTTGATCCTGCATCATCCAGGTAAAGAAATCGTCTTCCTGGAAGTTGAGGTCAAAGTCCAGATCCTGTGCGAACTCGGCAGTGGAGGGAAGCTCTTCCGTATCGCGCCCGGACGGGATTTCGATAATGGGTTCGGGCGTTTTCTGGACCATTTGGATCGCAGCCCTCTTTAGTATGTGAATTAAGTGTTTACCGGCAACTTAAAACGAGACACATGTAGCTATGCAAAGGGAACAGTGTCGAATCTTTGTTGGAGATGTTGAGAGGGGTTCTGTCATTCAAGGGCAAAAACGAAACCGGACCACCTTGTCATTGAAGGGAGCAACTTGACCCACCCACACTAACACCCTGTGGGCCGCCGCTAGAGATGGGAGCTTGGCTTGACTCTCTTGGCTTGGACGTCCTCTTGCACTGTTCATCTTTGAAGCCTCCTGCAAAAGAATCCCTATGTTCCCATGCATTTAACCGTCAGTTCTTATGGCCTTATAATACTCCCCTCTACAAGGGCTTATGCTCTTCTCTTCCCCACATAAATGTCGACGTCGTCCAGAATAGCCTCATTGCGTTTGCCAGCGGCCACTCGCGCCCTCTTCAACTGTCGAGTAGCCACATCGACTCTCCAAGTAGCCGACCACGTCACAAGATTCATAATAATTGCCGCTCCTATGAAGCCCATAGCAATCCCAAACGATGTCGTGTAGCGAGGTGCAAACCTAGAGTTAAACAACTGGGATCCCACGGCGCCACCGATCTGGCCGTAGCTGTTGGCAAAGGCGATGGCAAATGCCGATCCTGTAGCCCCATCTGTGGTCTGAACTCGCCAAGGCCACATCATTGTGTACCTGCTTGCGTTAGTGTGGTCCAGATAGGTGATGAGAGAGTGCTTGCTTACCAGGCTATGGAGAAACCTCCAGCAATGACAGTAGCTGCATACACACCCCCAGTATTGGGGAATGTGTACAAAACAACATAACATGCCTCAATGATGACCATGAAAGTCAAAGGGATGGCGGGTAGAGGGACATGTCCGGTATTCGCTACCCATCCGAAAACAATGGTCAAGACGCAAGCAAAGATGGCCGGAGGGATATTAAGGAGCTGAGCCTGAGCAATCGTCCTGAGAGCACAAAGTCAGCTTAGGTACAGCGGATTGCTAGAGAAACTTACGTAAAACCTAGATTTGCAATCACCGTGGGTTGGTAAAATTGCAAACCAGTTGTTCCAATGGTGTAAAAGGCCCAACAGAGCAGAAAGAGCCAGAGCTTGGGGTCTTTGAGGGTTTGCCAAAACTCTTTCCAGTCAAAGTCTTTCTCAGCTGCTCTTGGAGCATTGATAGGGAGCCTAGCTTGGATAAAGTCTTTCTCTTCCTGAGACATCCAACTGGCGGTGTTAGGAACTGAGGTTGTTGTTAGCATCTGTATAATGTTTGGCTTGGTCGGGGCCGGGAGGATGAGGTGTGCACATACAATCTGGGAGAACAAGGTACACAACGATGCCAAGAATTATCGTGAAAACACCCTCAGTTAAAATGAGCCTTTCGCATGCCACCACGGTCAGTCGATGCGTTTACCCAAAGCCAGGTCCTTACTCACCACTTCCATCCAGATAAACCTCGAGCATGGACGCCATCAAAGGCAAAGGAGAGAACTCCACTTATGACGGCGCTGAAGTTGCCAAGCAATGTCACCAGGACTATTCGGGACGCCATCTCATCTGGCCTATACCAGTAGCACAGCTGCAAGAGGATGCCAGGCCAGAGACCAGCCTCGAAAAGGCCCAGAAATGCACGGACAGTGTATAGTCCGCCAGCGTTCGTGACGGCAGCATGACAACAAAGAACAATGCCCCAGGATATCTGCCATTGTCAGCTCGCTCTCTTCAATCAAGGCTTCCGTAGACACTCACCATGATACGAGCTTGCCATACCGAGGGCTTCAAGTACTTGACGAGGAGATTCGAAGGTGTCTCTGCGAGGATGTATGGAATCTTTGGTGATCGTCAGCGTGTGTGTCTCCGCGGCAGTATAGGTCTCGAAGTACATAATATGCTGCAGTCACAAAGTTGTACTGATCAGGAGTCACACTAAGTTCAATCATGATATTCCGAGGAGTTCCTCGATCCATAATTCTAGCATTGGAAACCTGAAGAGATTGTAAGCAAGAATGCGCATATTTTTGGAGGTACTGCCACATACATTGGAAGCGTCGATGGTCTTCACCATGTACATGATAGCCAGCAGAGGGATAAGATGCCAGTCAATCCTTCTTAGCAGTTTCTTCTCTTCAGTGCTGCTCAAATCGGCCCTGGCCCTCATGAGAGAATCATCGTAACCGGTAATTTCACCCCGTACGTCGTCAGAACTGGAGAGCGGATCACCTCGTGCGACGACTTTGAAGTGCTGCTCCCGGGAAGGCTCCCCTGTGGATGAGTATATGGGTGCAGCCACTGAGGACTTTTCATTCAATACTTGACGGTCAAAATCGATTTCCGGCTCGAGTCCGGAAGGAGGAGTTCTTGGAGAGGCCATGGTTGCTTGGTGTTTGTGTTTGGCAACGAGGAACTAGGACTGCCAAGCGCAAAGACGTTGTGCGGGATCACCGAGACATATAAAGATATGATGATCCTCCCACTTGTCGTACAATCGGCATTATTTATCCGGATCGTCATTGTAGGGGCCCGATTGCGAAAAAGAGGGGTTTTGTGTGATGAACCACTCCTCGGTTACTCGTAAGGGCAGACTGCAGCCATCATCACCCGAATCATACTATGCCAGCATGTTCGGGAACTCAATCTAACCCGAGCCCTCCATAGATAAGGGGCGCTTGGCAGTGCCATGGGCTGCTATTCCCGGGTGGTGGAGAATGCGTCTTTATCTACGGCTCCCACCCGGGTGCTAGCGTATCTCGAAATAATGCACATCAATGATGACATGTACAAACGAGGGGTTGGTCTTGTTCATTGGCTTCTGGGTCATGCTGCTTAACAATCAAACGACCAGTAACGGCATCAAATCTCTTACGTTGATAAAAGCCAATCCTGTTTCGTTCATACCTGTCTCCCATACGCACCAAGTTGCGCCAAAGTTCGTCTCCTCTCTCTTATCTAGTTCTCAACATGAGGCCTATCTTCCTTGCTGCCACCCTTGCGCAGGTGTGCACTGCCAGTGGAGGCACCCAATATCCCCTACAGGGCCTACATTCTACGCCAGGCTACTCAGCACGACTGATCGACCTGCACAAATCCCTCGTCGAAATACCCTCGATCACAGGGTCCGAACGCAATGTAACTGAGTTCTTGACAACCTATCTCCAGGATGCTGGCTTCACGGTTGAAACCCAACCTCTTGAAAACAACCAAGAAAATATTCTGGCCTACTTCAACAGCTCGAGGCAAACCCGAGTCCTCGTAACCTCACATTTGGATACCGTCCCTCCATACTGGCCCTATGAGAGGCACGGCGATGTGATACGAGGGCGAGGAACAGTTGATGCCAAAGGCAGCGTGGCGGCCCAAGTAGGTGCCGTTGAAACGCTCCTCGGCGATAACAAAATCACTGAGGGTGACGTGGCTTTGCTATTCGTGGTGGGAGAGGAAAAGGGAGGCCCTGGAATGCGGGATGCAAACAAACTTGGCCTCTCTTGGGAGACAGTTATCTTCGGAGAGCCCACAGAACTCAAGCTTGCTCGCGGGCACAAGGGAGGATTGGGGTTCACCGTGAAGGCGAACGGCAAGGCTGGTCACTCTGGGTATCCTGAAACCGGTTCAAATGCCATCGATAGCCTTGTTCGTGGACTTGGTGCCCTTCAACGTCTCGAGCTCCCCTGGAGCGAGGAGTTTGGTAACAGTACGCTTAACATCGGGAAGATTGAAGGCGGTGTTGCTGGGAATGTGATTCCCGCCAGTGCGTCTGCTATAGGCGGAGTAAGAGTAGCAGCTGGAACCCCGGACGAAGTGCGAGATTTGATCCGCCGAGCTGTATTGGAGAGTGACTCGAACCTTGAAGTCGAGTTTTCTACGTACGGCATTGGGCCCGTGCCAATCGATTACGATATTGATGGTATTTGTATTTTGAACCACTCCGAAAGGAAGTCAGACTAACAAAACACTAGGCTTTGAGACAGTGGTACTCAGTTACGGAACCGACATCCCAAATTTAAAGGGCAGTCACAAGCGGTATCTTTATGGACCTGGAACTATTCTCAACGCTCATTCAGCTCATGAGTTTTTGACCGTCTCGGATCTTGAAGAGGCAGTCCGGGGGTATCGGGCTATTATCAGGCACGCACTCGGCGGAAATTCTCATTAAATCTTGTTCGTTCAACAGTACAGGTGGTGCAGAGGGGATGCCAGTTATCAACAAGAAGGGATGAGTCTGTCTCTTAGGTCTCTATGGTGCTAGCCAAACTCCCTTGGCACTTTCACATATCACGAAGAACCAAAGACTTGCAATAAGCGCACTAGACGTTGAGGGGCGAGGTCCGTATACTGTAGACACGCTCTAGCTCAGGGCATTTTCCCTGTCCCTAAATAATCCCTGGTGGGCGGTGGGCCATCCGCTATCTAGAATTGTTGAAGCGAATACTTTAGCGCAGTCTCTACTCCCTAAGCCGATGCTCCAGGGAGGGACGAGGTACTCGAGATGCCGACAAAGCCAGACGGCTGATCCTCCACCATACCGAAGCTTCGCTACCGCCTGGTATTGAGACTGAAACACCTCTCCAAGACGCATAGGGTAGTACTTTTGGGCATTGAAGCCCGGGAGCGTCTCTTCTTCCAACATCTTATCAGCGGGGATAATCTTGAAGCCCGTGCTCGGCAGTGTTCTGGCATGGGCAAACGTTGTCCGCGCGGTCCGAAAATAGAGTGAGACAATTGGTTTCCAAGTGGAAGTCGGGTGGTTCAGATACGCGAGACGATGAAACATGCTGCACATTTTGCGCGGTTGAGAATCGTGAACATTTCGGATCCAGTGTGAGGTTTGAGAGCTGGGAGACAGAGACAAGGGACGGAAGATAAAAGATTCGCAAGAAATGACTCTGACAGCAGTGATTACAACTAATGATGCAAAGGCTTAGTTAAAGTAGACCTGGCTAATTCGAATCTCTTCTAGGGAAGCTCATGGAAGAACAGCCCGACTCTGCGTTGTCGTCTCTATCCACACCCACGGTCTCCTGGCTCAGTTGTCGTCCACATTGGACGGATCTTAAATCTATCTTCCTTATCACAATATGTCCACCCAGTCCGTCGAATAGGTCTCGGAAACTTCGGGGCCGTTGCCACGTAGACTTCTCGCAAACCAGAAAACCTTTCCGTCTCGGCCAAGGTGCATAGTTCTTCTCCTAGACCTTCCTTGTTCTCCTCTCGGAATGGGAGATATGCGCGGAACACCTCAATCGAGATCGGTAAATTCTCAGCAAGGTTCAGCTTCGTTGGATAACGATTATCCGTCTTCTTATCATCGTTTGTGAACCAGAAGATAAGCTCCAGATGTTTCAACCTTGACAAGGTTTGGAGGTTTCCGATCCTACGCGCGATGTATGCCTCCTCTGTCAATGATTCTCCGGGCCATCGCTCATGAACGCGGAGCTCGAGAAATTCAAGGCCTTTTCCGTAAGCACGGAGCATGTCTCCCATATTGTAGTAACGAGAATCGAGGTCTGGAATGGGATAGATGCCCAGGCTTAGAAACCGGAGATTGGTACATGTTGAAAGCAGATTTTGAATGCCACTGGGCCGGATCTCCAATTGGGCCGTGCATAGACGTTCAAGCCTGCAATCCAGCATCAAGTAGTCTTGGTCAGACTCTCTTTGCTTCCAGGTGGCAGTTTGGATAAAGAAGGTTTTTAGACTGGGGAGCTTGAGAAAGCTCTCAAAGGTGCCGAATCGTAGCAAGTGGCTGTCCGGACTGGTTCCATCGTGGGACCAGCCTGGAATTGCTTCGAGATATGCCAGCGAAGACAGGCATGATCTTCGGTGACCCCCCAGAACATTCTCGACCAAAGAAAGCACCAGACGAGGGTACCGCGGAAGTGCAATTTCCAACATGGTCAAATTTGGCATTAGCGCAAGCCAGAATGCCACTGTTGCATCGTGGACAGCGCCTGTGTCTTTGGAGGACAAGCCTTGGGATATTCCATCTGCAATCTTATCCGGTATCCCGAGGTGTGAACGCACTCTGGCAAACAGGGAATGCGTTTCTGGCGTGGAGGGAAGATTGTTGGACCTGATGGTACAATCTAGCTCCTTGACCAGTTTCCCCAGGTGAGGTGACCCGCTCAGCACGTCGATGAGGACGTCAAGCGATTTTGATTTAGCCTGAATTATTACAGAATGAAAAAGCAAAGGCTGGGCGAGTGCTCTGAAGTGCCCTGAGGCTTGACAAATGCTGCTCAACGTTTCGGCGTTTCCAGGGATTGGATCCGTAGTGAATGCGTGCGACCATCTGGGTAGAGAGTATTGGAAGTACGAAAAGATATGTACCAGAATCTCAGGAGGGAGTCTATTGTGCATAGACAACGATCTACGTTGGCTCTCCATTGGCGCGGCATGAAGGCGGAGGAACCGAGTTAGCGAAGTTCCATGTCTGGAAAGGATTTGTGCGAGGTATTATTTGCCTGTGGAAAATCTTTGGTCCGAGCATGCAAGTTCATTCATCCAATTACATTATCGGGAGGCTGTTGGTTCGCCTCAATTTATCTGACACCAGCCACTCACAGACTTGACTCCTGACCGCTCTCGACTTGAAGACAACTTCCCTCTAAAGAGAACCGCAATTTCAACAAATTGGGCTGACAAACTTTTAGCTCAAAAAGGTACGTTGATCGGCTCAAGACAAAACATTCAACACCAGGATTTTCTTGTTATCGTTGATGATGGCTCCAACGGAGGCCATCAGCCACGACAAAGGAAGTTTGTATCACCAAAAGTAACCAATGTGATGGAAAAAAAAAAAACCGTCTGATGGGTAGGTTGATATAAGATTGTGCCTCGAACACCACCGGAAAATTATGGTTCTGGATGGGAGCCTTGGATGTCCTTCAAGGGCCCAGTCAGTCTCACTACTCCCTTAGTCAAGTCTCTTCCTCTGAGTGGCCATGGGTGAGGTTTGCAGAGGGGGAATCTCTAAGAGGAGTTTGAGTTATCAACACATGACCATGCCTTGGAACCCCCAGATTCCCTGTTGGTCTCAATGATGCCTACAATAGACCCATGAGTACCAGCAATCATCAGAAACGTCCCGGAAACGACAACAAAGACGCTCCAGACCACCATAAGACACCACCTCGGCGTTGGTTCATACCGGCCTTTAGACCAGTTATCATATAGCCACATACAGCCATAGGGCTGGAAGGACATAAGAGTTTCGAAGAGAGCTCCAATGAGAGAGACCAAGCCGCCAAAGACTGGAATGCCGCTGTCAATGAGATAGGCGACAACTATCACGCCTGCGGTGCAACCAAGCCAGGTTCCCCAGTGGACGATTGTGTTGGAGGTAAGATGCTTCGAGCCTCGAAGTACGAACGAAGAGGAATTTTCTCGGAAACTAGATGGTAGTTAGAAAGGGAAATTGCAAAGATTAGAGTCTTTCTGCAACAGCTCCATGCTCTGAAATGGCGTTCAACCCGATGGACGAGCTGACCATCCCGGAGCCGGCGCAAAAGATCCAGTCTAACAAATATCGGTCAGTATCACAGCTCCCGGCCTGCCTCAGGATACACTCACAGATGCAAATTCCAACAGCAAAGAATTCACGGCCAATAGGACCAAACATCAAGCCGCCCGCATCATCAATGCCATAAACATCGCGGTGCTTAAGCTTGAAGCAACCGATCATGCAGTTGGACCACGTCGTAATTCCGGAGATTGTGCATATACAGATAACACCTGGGATTAAACCAAGTGTATTGAGAACGTCCGGAATCGAGAGAGCACCGAGGCCGAACTGGGTCTTCATCATAAGAGCGACAGTTCCTAGCCAGCCAACCTGGAACTGTTAGAAGGCTGTCTCTGGGCAGGGACCATGTCTCACATCGCGGTAATTGGGCCCTTCTTCCGTGATATCACCAAATACGGCACCATGCTCGATGGTATGGTCCTCGCCTGGCAGCGTCTTGGGCGGCATATCTTGGGGCTGGTCGCTCTCTTCGTTGATCTTTGACATGTTGAAGGATGTTCACCTGTGATTCTCGAAAGAAGGATGAATCGAAATAAGAGAGACGAAGTTCAATGCGAGCGAGTGGATCTTTTAAGCCAATTCACTCGGCTCGGCCTACTTCGTAGCTTCTTAAGAGGTGTAGGGGGCAGAGAAGTCGCTGGGCAAATCATGCGTTAGTGGCGAAGCATGTTCTCGGGCACCAACTGTTATCCTTGTTCCAAGTCAAGTCGGGGTCGGTCCAAGTTTGGATCATGTATAATTGTCTTTGTCCCTGGAAAATCCAACAAGTTGGGCTCGGAGGTCTCACCATGGCCTGTCTGGGACCCCCGAGGCATGACGAACAACGGTGTACCCAGCAACAGCGGACCAAGGATTGACGCCACTTTGTATCAACCTCGCCCCGCTGTCAGCAATCTCTGTATCAGTGGGTGAGGGAAAAGGAGCATGTCTCCGCGATGCCGGGAGTGGAACCGATCGTGCTTCTTGACCCTCTCACCATGGGGACGGAATCGATAAAGTGTTACGGTGTTGATAGGTCGTTTGCTGCCGGAGCGAACATGCTTCTATCCAAAGGTAAACTAGTCTATCTGCAAGACGTAAAAGGAGCAAAAATGTCTTCATGTACTTGCTTCGAGTACCTATACACAGTCTTTTTTCATCTCCAAAAAATCTCCTCTCAACTCCACGGCCCGGACAGCGTGTCCGAGAATCATCATCCACGTGCGCCTCTGGACTCCGCTCTGCCCGGTTGAAGACAGCCGCTATCCCCAAAAGGCATTCCCCATACCCCTCACCCCATAAGGATGGTTTCTGGAGCTTGTATCTTTACCCTGGCGCGTGTTCATTCTATTACGTACCGTCGTCTCGGGGGACTGGGATACTTCTACGCGAGTTCCGCCGGAAGTGCCGTTGCCTCTTCCTCTCAGGTAGTGTCTCCCTATCACATCATTTCCTTGCGCGGGCGTCTGCTTCTTAGGCTACTTATTGAGTAAGGGTGTTGCGTCGTGTCACAAACAAGCAGGTACTTTAACGCTGTGTCGACATCCCCAGCACCTCTCTGAAGTCTGGTGAGCTGTTGAAGGCTTGGAATTATGAGCTGATCTACTCCTATGAACAACACATTATGCGCATTACAGATGAACTCGAAGGGCCATGTTACTCCCCCGCCAGAATCTGTTCAGCCCTTCTTCCGAATCTCCCAACACAGGGTCATATTTAGGCTTAGGAATGGACCAAATCTTCTCATACTCTCCTCCACCCTTAATGAAATCCCATTCGCCTCCGTTGTACGCCCCCATCATTGTGAATCCCGATAGCTTGATTTTCGATAGAGCCTCCCTAGGATCTTCAGCGTCGATTCCATGACCAGACCCCGGCGTCAAGAGCTTCAGTTCATTCTCTGGTTTTGTGTCATAGGTCTTGTGTGCTACACCAGCCGGAATGAGGAAGATGTCTCCCGCCTCAGCCTTGAGCTCAATGCCACCCTCCTCCCTGGCCGAGCCGTACGTGTTATCATGCATATCCTCAGAGGTATTAGCGACTCCAAATCGGATCGTCGCGTGGCCTGATAGCACGGCCATAACTTCATGGGCCTTGGAGTGAAAGTGTGAAAGCTGGGTCTGCCCATAACGGATGAGCCACTCCACTTTCCAACCATTGCTTTCGAATAAGTCATAGACCCTAGCTGCGCTGCAATGGTCGGGGTTCTCAGTGGTTCGTGGCAGCACATTCTTGTAGTGCAACAGGGGGCGTGGAGAGTTCGGAATGAGATCCGTGGGGGCGAGGAAATACTGCTTTTATCTCCACCATGGCTAGGGCTTGGAAGAAATGTCTTGGTACAAGGATATGGACTTGGTGTATTTGTCCGTGCTCTTACAAAATTGCGAGAATTGTTTATTAAGTTCTTATCAGAGAAGTGACCGGCAGATCTCTCCGAGTGTCGTGGGCCGGAGTTATCAGCACCGGCACATTTTCCCGATTGTGGGGATGGGACGGGGGAATGAAGTCTCTTCCAGCTAGAGCCATTCAACCTCTGACTCAGGGTCAACTCCGGACACGTCCCTCGACCTTTTACTACGGAAGAGCCCGATCAGGCATTACGGGATCGCCTTCCAAGTACATGCAGCAACCCTTCGGGCATCCCTCAGCGATTTGTGGTAGAATAGTCCAAGGCACTCCGAAAGCCTTTCTTGGCACTTCGAGTGTGGAGGACCTGTAGTCTCTGCCGACCAGGAAGCTTACTGCGATATTCAAGTGTCAGACTTGCCATATGTTAGGTAGTCAACCAGTGATGAACGCCATGGAATGGGGGATGGCTGGGGCGGATTTGCAGACCAGTAGCTAAAAGTTTGTTGCAGGAATTGGAGGCAACTCATCCTCTCATCGAACCACAGCTTGACAAATGTTTCCATAATTAAAGATCATTTCATTACTTTATTCAAAGCCGTTTCATGCATGGCACGAGTATCTTCGCGTACCTTCATCATAACTTCGTGACAAGAAAGAGCTTGAGACAAGCCTTTCGATGATATCTATACATACCGATCTCCCAGGACCCCATTCTTGCGTTCCTCGTTTTCAATTTGCCTCTCATGTGTTCCACTTTCATCATCATCGCTTCCGTCCTTGTCCCTCTCAGCCCTCTTCCGAACCTTGGTCGTAAAGGTTACCATCTTGGCGTACTTCTCCGTCGTCTTGGTGATGGTCTTCCACACAACCTTCCATGTGAGCTCACTCCTCATGGTATGATACAGAGCGAATAGTAGGAGGATGGCCCCGAAAGATGCGACAACCCACCACTTGAGGGCTTCGTCGAGATCCTTCAAAGGCTCTGTGTTCATAGCGAGCAAACTCGCAACCAGGCTAGGGGGCACAAAGAGTGACGCAAGAACAGTCAGGTTGCCCACACTCTCACTGTTCTTGGCCGTGTTTCTCGCGTCTTCGAGGCTGATGGCATTGTTGACCACGGTGCTAAGGCGGTCGATACGCACCTCGTAGTCGTTGAGGCGCTCCTGGATTCGCTCATAGTCTCGCCTATAGGGTTCAAAGATTGCCTCTGTATCAATCCGGTAGGCTTCGCCGTCATAACGCTTCTGTTGCAATTCCAAGTCTGAAGCTTGACGTAGAGTTGCGGAAAGCATATCTCGACAAACAGGCACCCATCGACGCCAGATGTTGAGCTTGTTCAGAATGGGTTCTCGATCATCGTTGACTGGTAAGAAGGCAGGCCGAGATATCTCCCAATCGATCTGGTTAAGACGAGCGTTGAGATAGTCGGTAAAGGTGAGCCAGTCTGTACACACAAGGTGCAGTAGGGCTTGAACGGGAATCACGAGAGGAGAGGTTGGGGAAGAAGGCGATGGTAACCGTGGAAAGCAAGTCTCTTTCTGGGCCCAAAACACAAAGTCTTCCAGCCAAGATTTTGGCGTCTCATCCTGATCCTTTCGCATTGATGGCGGACCTAAGGGGATGTCCTCAGGTGGTGAGCTAAACAGGGGAAGCTCATCCCAGTTGGCATATCCACGCCAAAGGGGATATCCCTGCTGAGGTGTTGGCTCGAGGAGAAGAACAGCTTGAAGAGACGCGTTAGCGGACGGAATCAATGTTTAGGACTCAACTGAAGTTGATCTTACCGACAGCTGTGTCGTTATCAATGTCATTGCGTAGCCAAAATGTTGCTCGACTGCGAATGTGTCCAACCTTGGCATCCACAGGCGCTTCCTCTGGTTGTGATGAGGATCCATTGACGGCCCTGGAGATTTTACTCTTGGTCCCATCCTTGCTCATAGCCGGGTCCTTGTCCCAAAATGCTTGGTTGTCGTCTCCGTCCATCCGCCGCATCACATTGAATCTGTCGACGGCGTCTTGGGCTTCGCTGAGTTCCTGATGGTTTGGAAAGTATCGGGATCGGACGAGCCGCATCTGGAACCAGTTTCGTTGCCTGGACATGACATCGAGCATTGGAGGCTCACGCCATGGGTCTCGAACGTTGTTCCAAACGTAGTCAATCAGTTGAGTGCGGAAAAACCGAGGGTCGATGTCAAGTCCAGCTCCCAGTGTTTCAATAATGTCTCGGGAAAGATCCTCGACAACAAAGAGGCTGAGCTTGATGTCCTTGCGTGAGATTGAGTTGTCTTTGACTCGGGAAACGGCTTCTTCCAGCCCAGAAAGCGCAGAATGTGGATGCAATTCATCGAACTGGTACCTTTCGACGGATGGCTTGCCTTCTGATTTGTACTCTAGAAGAGCCACATTCATCCTTTTGGCTCGTAGAAACTGCTCCCTTTTTATTTCTAGACTTTATTAGCACGGCGAGAAGATTGAAGCACACAAATTGACTCACCTGGAATGGTCTCCCCATAGACATAGCGTGGCTTCTGATTCTTCACAGGCACCTCGCCTGGGAACGTGCACCATCGCGTCGGAATCGTGCCGACCTCCATGAAGTCGACGAGAAGCTGAAGTTGAGGCCATGTTCCAGCCAGACTCTTGACGTATGTGAGGTACTCTCCCTCTGGCCTGTCTTCCCTGCAGTTGTCAGTTAGCAACGTCGTTACGTGAGATTGGTAACCAGCCACTCACTCGACCCAATACCTGCCCTCCTCCTTCAGTATCCGGATCACATCTTCCCTCTTCTCATCCTGATACGCATCGCCGAAGAAATACGTATTCGTGCCCAGATCCTTGCGAAAATACTGCCAGTTTGACCGCTTGTAATATCCAAGCGAGCGTCGTGCCGCCATGTTGACGCGGCTTGCGGGGAAAGAGCCTGCGCAAGATGAAGAAGAATGGAGAAAAGCCTCAAAATTGGTGGCAGGGATGGCGTTATGTTTTTGTAGGCTAGTGCGGCTGTGCGGCCAAGGGTCCGCTGAGACCTCGATGTGATCCCTGTCGTATCGAGAGCTGGTCAGCCTAGAAGTGCACCCCGGGCACACCACCAGCTCTGAGAAGCGCACGCAGGGATTCAGGTGGATTTCAAGCCCGCAGAATTCTTCGTAGTAGGACGCCACAGCGGTTAAACGGCTCAAGACATCGTGGATGGTCATGCAACAAGACGAAGCACAGCCCCAAGATACAGATTTTCTATCTCCAAGAGAAGAGGCACCTGACCATTCGTACTTTCACGTCTATCTTACCAGGCGTAGACTCCACCGGGGACCGAATCTTTAGAATAAGACATTGCAGGCAGAACGAGAGTCTAGCATGCTACAAGGTGGAGGTTGCACCGCAGATTGAGCCGATATCTGCGCCGACAAGCTGGCAAGCTGGTGGGCAAATCACAGGCTTCACCTTACCACCCTTACGAGTGACTTCGCCATAGCTTCTCTGTCGGCAGAAAATCTTGAGACCATCATGGTAGGCACAGAAAGTCGGGCAAGACGACGTGAAATAACAGTGGCGCGGTCCACTGAGCTCCAGATTGACAAGTGGCTGTGTCGAGTACAAAGTTTTTATCGAAAGTATGCCTTGTGACTCTCGCGAGGTTGTTATTATACATGTCGAGAGGTTGATGGCCTGATCTTGCTAGCCGGGAGATGACAATTGGAAATGCAGATGTGAGAGGACCAGACCAACGAAAATACCAAGAAGGAAGCACCTCAGACAAACCAGCCACCATTTTCGGGAAGTTGAGCGAGAAGTAACTCGTTGTTTAGCTGCAACGGACAAGGAACCGACTCCCAATGGGCGCGGGCCCGATGCAGATTCGTCGAAGCTCAACGCATTAACCCTAGTATTCTCTAAGCCTAGCTGCATAGATACCTCATCCTATATCCTAATAAAGAGACTCGCAGACAATCGTGAGTGGAGTTTGTTCTTGCATCGCATCAATTGACAGCGGCGCCTACGGAGGGACGAACTACCCGCTACCCGCCCTGTCCCGGCCTGTGTACCGGGCGGCCCGGGCCTAACCCACCCCACCAAACCCGGCAATTGTGAGTGGCCGACAGCGAAACCTTCGGCGTACGGTACGACTTGGCGAGCTTCTGGGGACTTGAAGGAGAACTGGGTCGAGCAGATGACCTAGAGGAAGTCTCAAGAAGAAAATGCAGTGAGCAGCGAGCAGCGAAAGAAAATGAATCACGAACTAGAAAATATTGATGCTAGTCAGGTTATGCAAGACCCAAACAAGAGTGTAAGCTGTGGCAGTGTTTGTTGGACTACTCTTTACCCTCAGCCCAGACGATCTATTCCGAAGATGAACAGTACCTTATGAATTCCGCTTCTCTCAAGCACTTAGTTAGCCTGAGCATACAAAGAGGATACCAGCACCTTCGACGATCGCGTCAAAGTTTGTAGCCGTTCCCAGTCCAGCTGTAGGGTAGATAGGGGAAAGAAGCCCTAGGGATTCGTGGCGAAGGAAAGGGAGATATGTTCAAGGTGGCAAGTCAACTCAGTCATAGCATTGAGTTTGGCTTCTGACCGAGGTAGTCTAGCCCTTACTATCTGATGATACTTGATGCTGTCTTCTTCAGAGAAGCCGAGCTGCTTCAATGAAGGCGACAACTTAGTTCTGAGCACTTCACACACTACATTACATCCACATGGAATATCATTTGCAGGGCCGAGAATAGCGTACGTCCATCCGGTCTTCTATCGACTTCTCTCCAGCGTGAACACCATCGTTCAAGATAAACGGCCCCCGTACATAGCGTAGCCTAGAATACCTGACAAAGAGTTGCTTGACCGACATTCCGAAATGCCACTAACGGACAAGTAGACAATGAGTGACCTCTACTCGACAAAGAAAGGTCGCCTGTGGATCATACTCCCCTAGAAGACTATCAAATTAAATTCC